CTGATGGCGCGGGAGGCTGCAGCGTGCCCTGGATGCCACCTGCCGGCAGCAAAGCAACCCCAGGGCTGGTCGTTTGCTGCGACCTGTCCTTCCCAGCCAGCCCAGAGGAGCTGCAGCCCCAGCGCTGCGGGCTGGGAAGCCTTTACTCACCGCCGTGGCGGCAGCGCCGCTGACGCACCTTGAGGAGCAGCTATCTAATCAATTAGCAATTAAATAATGCGTAGATGAGGTTACAGTCCTGCATGCCTGGGGAGGGAGAGAATGCTTCCTGCTGCTGAAATACTGAGCCAGCAGTTTGCGTTCAGGATAGAGCAGGAGAAACACAAGCTGGCTGAGACCAAATGGGCCTGCTTCCCAAAAACAGAACTGGAGAACATTTGAACACTGCAGGCTTAATGGCAGGAAGAGAGATGTGCTTTCAGAGCCACCTTATTTAGTCTTTGAATATGCCAAATTCCAGGTAACATGGCTGTAAAACCACAGCTGAGACACTTTACTGCTTATTTGAATTATGCAAATTGTCTTTTAAAAGAAAGTACTTGATACCAGGTGCTTACCTGTGACAGTGGCAGACCAGCACATTTACATCCTCCCACATCAGGCAGAGAACAGAAGCCACCAAGATAAGCCTCAGGACCTGCTCTAAGAACAAAACTTACTTACTTACTTATAAATAAATAAAAATTACTCCTTGAACAAAGAGCTGCTGCGAGAGCATCTCAGCTGGTCCTGCCTTTCTGCTGGTGTGAATACACCAGGACCCCACATTTCAACAAAGAATGGATGAAGAGGTGGGTTCTTTTTTTTTTGCTTTCTGAATAAAAGTGTGCTAATGAACAGGAGAACAACAGAGAAGGAAAGATTTTTGTCAGCAGCTGGTAAACAAACCAGGAAGATGAAACTTTCAGCCTTGATGGAGTTAATTCCATTTCCCCAAGCCTGATGTACCCTGAGAGGCTGCAACTTGCTGTAAATCAAACTGAACAAAGACCAAGTGAGGTGCAACTGATTCAAAGAGGACTTTTTTGCCCTTTATTACTTCCTGGATGAGCATGGCTGATGCCCCAGCATCAAAACAAAAGTTATGACAAAATATGATAAAAACACTGTTCTCGTCCGCAAGATACAACAGGAAAACAAGTGTTACGAGTCACATTGTACAGGCAAATAATTAAAGCAAACAGATTGAAGAACACAGTCATCAGAAAGTGATTTATCAACCAGTTACAGTTTTAATATAAAAAAAGTTTAGTCCAGTCATAAGCTTAATTGTTCAATGAAAATGAGTAAGTGGAACCAAGCTCGAACAAGATGATTTAATTTGTTTCAACATCAAGCTTGTTGGGTGACAAACACAATAACCTTACTCCAGAATATACATGTCCACACCTGTGGTTGCCTCACCTCTGGTTGTTGCCTAGAGATCTTTCCCCTTGAGTCCTTTCTGAGGCTGCATCTCAGGGGAATTCAGGTAATTATTTTTTGCTACCAGTACATACTGTAGACACAGATGTATCTGGATTTATAATCTACAAGGATTTAGAGGGGACAAGGACTGAAATATCATCTGAATCTTGTGGGAGAGTCAAGGACAGAGTGGTGTGAAGAACCTTGCACACTGTGCACGGTTGCTGACACCTTTATATTTTGCTGGTTTAAGTTTAGCATCCCCCAGGAGCACTAAAATCAAACCAGAAACATTCTACAAGCTCTGTTTAAAGAAAATACTGATAGCTGTCCATGTCTTCTTCTGAAAAAAATATTCCAAGTAACTATGTACACCCATGCCAATCTCAGCTTCTCAGAGAAAAAAATAATGAAAAGCACATTAAAAAAAATACCTCTCAGTATAACATTCTGAGCTGTTACCCAGTCTGCCAGGAAGTTATAATCATTGTTTACAAATGGAAAAGACTGAAGGGGAAAAAAAAAAAGCATCCCCCTTTGGGTAAATGAAGTTAAACAATTCTAGCAAACTATAGCAAAAAAAAGGGAAATATTTGCCCTAAGTTAACACAAAGGCAAGCTGGAAGAAAGATGGCAACTGTATTTTTTATCAGCCTTTTCTGAGGCTGGAGTATGTTACTATTATCTGGAAAATTAATTAAAAACCCCACCCTTCCTATCGAATTTAATCACTGCCAAAATTTGTCTTTTTAAAATAATTGATCTAAGTCCTTATGCCTACATATTATACAGTCTGGAACTTGTTTTATGATTAGAAAAAAAAAAAAAAAGCCAAAAGAAGTCCATTGGCACAGGGTGTCCATGCCCCAGGGGTATCACAAGGTTGAAACTCTTCAGTCTGCATTTCAACTAACTTGAACTAGCAACCATCCTGCTTCCAGAGACATTTACTTCCATCATCTCTTGTTTTCAGTTAGTCTTTAACAAATCCATCTTTTCCTTTCCAAACCCTTCACTTGAAGCTGTTAGATTAATTGGTTTCAAACCAGGCAAAAAGAGAAAATAGTTTCAACTCATATTCCTTAAATTTTTATAAGTTAACAGAGCTTTGAATGAGTTAAGGCACCCACATGCCCAGCAAAAAAAATATAAATACCTTGGGCTAAATACAACTAAGTGTTCAGCAGTCATTGAATTGCACAATCATCTCCCTAATTTGTAGCATAATGCTGCCAAAGTCTTCAGAGATCCCAGAACATGAATCCTAGAGACTTTGGGAATATAATGGACAAGGCATTGACAAGACATTCTCAAGGTTCATTCTGTATTCCTGGCTCCTCAAGGTAACTGCTACTCCTAACGTAATCAGCACTTAGCAGCAAGATCAGCATGTTCTAAGAATGAAATAAATATTCACACAATCAATACTAATGGTTCAAATGCTCAAACACGTTACTGAAAACAGTGATTTTTTTTTTTTCCCCCCATCCTTCTCCTGCCAATCTGAGATGGTGGAATCAAGACCCTTGGCAACGACATTCAGGGCTCTCAGTCCCACAGAAGCTTCTGCAAACAAATCCTAGGCCTGAAGTTGTGTGGTCTGTGGGGCTGGGAGGTGTTTTACTGTGTCCGAAGCTGGTAGTCTGTAAAGGGAGGGAAAAAAACCCAAAAACAGTCAGTAAATTGTCTCACTGAAAGGAGTAAAGCAGATCAAAAGTGGGGTGAAGTGATATAAATAAGGGGTAATGGTTTTAAGCTAGAAAAGGGTAGATGTGAGGGTGGTGGATCACTGGAACAGTGATCCCTGGATCCCTGGAGATGTTCAAGGTCAGGCTTGATGGAGCTCTGATCAACCTGGTCTAGTTGGAGATGTCCCTGCTTAGGGGGGTTGGACTAGATGACCTTCAGAGGTCCCTTCCAAGCAAAGACCTTCTATGATTCCATAAAATAAAACTAGATCTTTGCTTAAAATGGCTGTGTTAATGAGCCCTAAAGACACTGAGGTGATTGCAGGCAGTCAGAAAAAGTCAGAGAAACAACTAAAAGCAAAAGACAAAAAACCCCTCTTTTACTTGCTAACAATCTAGCATCTTTTAGCAGCCAGCATCTCATATGTCTTAAAGCTGGCAGGATAATACATGAGCCATTTATTTTTAAATTTAGATGGCAAAAATCCCACTGAATCTCAGCTCACTGACAAAATCCTTGAACAGCTTTCCTGAACTATTCCAGTGGGACTTTCATTGAGACACCAAGCAAAGTGACTGGAAAAAGCAGCCACACTTCCATCTAACATGTACCTAAACCATAGAGTTTGATACTAAAGAGTAAGAACAAACTCACTTGATGTGTTTCAGTTTGTAGGTGTGTGCTGGAGGGGAAAAAGTATTAAAGTTGGAGATGAGGCTAAAGTTAATTTACCTCCATTCTGGGTAATATAACGAACCCAGGGGAGAGCCTGGTAACCACTCTTCTCAATTATCTTTAAGTAGCGAACCTGGGAAGAAAGATGAAGTAATAAAGTCTCCCTCTTCAGCCAAGCAGCATTTAGCAAAAAAACAGGAGTAATTTTTTTGGTCAAAAATAAGTTTTATGGATAACAAAGAACAGGAATCAACCCTGGGTGTGAAAAGCCCAGGGTGTTCACTTACCAGTGTTTCTATTTTCAGTTACTAACCTGGATTCCTGAAGTGGTGAAATATGGAATCTCAAACTTTACACTAATGGGAGGTTTTCCTTCCTTATCTTCAGCTTCAACACTTGGAAGTCCAAAGTGAGCTCTCATCAGGTATTCTTTACCACCCTACCCAAAAGGGACAGATGTTTCTTTTTCTTCCAAAAAAACCTTCCAACAATACAAGTCATTTTCTTAAGGTCAAATTGCCTGAACTCCACTGTTCATTTCAGCTCTTCTCTGGGTCTTAAAAAGTCAGCATGTGTTTTTATTTTAAAAATACATTTTTTTTAAAGATGCAGATCAAATTAGGACCAGCCTGAGGCATAATGGATTTTCTTCCAGCCTCATACTCAAAGGGGGAAAAGAAAAAAAAAAAAGGAGTTTATTTGGTGCCATTGACCACCAATGATGAACTGGTGACAGGCAGCTGTACTACCACACCATCAGCATTTGGAACAGCTCATGGATGGAACCACCCAAGAAGCACAAATCTGACAAACTAAACCAGCTGCTGCTAACTCCAGGCCAAGGGATTACACCATCCACAGACATGGCTCAAAAATCTGCTCTCTAACCTCGTTCTGAAAAAAACTCTCCCAGTTCAACAACATAAGCAGTATCTTAAATGTGCATCAGCAAGTTTCAAGCCTTCATCCAAAGGGAAGGAGGAAGAGGCCAGTGCTGCTTGTCTGATACTATTAGAATGAGCTTCAGGCAGAGTCTGAACATTAATAAAAACATGAACCTTAAGGAATTACTACACTATTAGGTGATAAGATGAAAAAAAAAAGCACTTACTGGAAAAGATTTAATGGACCAGACAATTTCACTGTTCTCTGGAACCCATTTGACACTTCCAACAGTGGTTTTAAACTTTGGCGAGTCCGCGTCGTTCGGAACCGGGATGTGGATCTCCACGTTGTTGGCAGTTGAGCGACGCTTGAATTGGCTTTTTGCCTAAAGGAGGAGGAAAAAAATCCATCAGGAAAGTAGCAAAAAACTCTTCAGAATTTCCAGCATGCTGGTGAGTTGAGATACTTGTGAGAAACACCATTCCCCTCTGCCCCAACCTGCAGGCTGAGGAACGGAACGACAGCACCAAGATGGTAACAGACTCAAGGTGCTGGTCAAGCTTTGGAAAGAAATTAAAACTAAAATTAGCCCTAATTATTTAGGAACTTCTCACCTTGATCATGTACTCAATGCGGCTGTGGGAATGTTTTTCAATCACAGACTCGATCCAGATCAGTGGTTTTACCTAAGGGGAGGAAAAGACCACTTCAGGTTTTGCTTCAACACTGTCAGGGTAACATTGCTCCCCCCATAAAGCTCCACTGAACACAGGAACCCCTGAGAAAGCAGAGTCTGTGTGTTCAAATGACAAACAAGTCAAGTTCTTACTTAAACCAAAGTGAAATGATACAGATGAGCAAGCACTGATATAGAAACAACCAAGTCTTGAAGAATTCCAAGCTTTAAAAGGTACATCTTGGATTAAACCTTAATAACAAAGACTTGCATTCCAAAAGATTTGATAATTTAATACACTGGGGCCTGAGCTAATTAAAAACTAACTAGTGAAAACTAATTCAAATTGCCCTCAAAATTAATACTAAACTTTTAATTTGTTGTCTCCTGCCAGAGCTGCCTATTCCAGTTCTCTACATTGATGTTCTCCTTTTCTCAAAGGAAACCTGATCCCTTCTCATTGTGGCCAGGACACTCTGTCAATTAAATGACAGAAACAGTTAAAAACACCATGAATTGCTGTACTGACACTGCACCATGTGCTTAGCTTGAAGAAAATGTCTTGGCAGGAATGGGTTTTCAGAAACAGTTCCAAGAGCAGTTGAAAATATAAAGGCTTCTTGCCAAGTCACTTCTAAACTCACTCACTCCCACCTCCTCCAAAAAGAGGAAGGAAAAAGTTTTGCTGTGGATGGTTGAGTTGAAAACTGCTGCTCATGTTTAAGGAAAAATGTAATTAGGAGGAATTTTGCCTCCAACTGATACAAAAAATAAAATGCAGGCATCTTACGTGGGTGTTGAGGCGATAGGACATGAGCTCAAACTCTCCATCAGGGGGGATGAAGGAAATGGTTCTGTCGTTCTCAAAGCGCGAGAGACGAACACACTGGTGGAACTTCACATCTTCTAGTTCTACTGACTTGCTTTTCCCACCTGGCAGGAAAAAGACATGGACAAATGATGTCCAAAGTCTTCTCACAGGTAACACTGACCTGCTGAAATTTCTCCCTTCTACAGAATCACCAAGTTGTTCTGGTTGGTAAAGACCTTTAAGATCATCAAGTCTGACCATAAGTGGGAAGTCAAGACTTCCTTTAGATCTCTGTAGGTTTTTAGGATGCCAGAAATCCCTAGGAAAAATGTCTTCACAAGAGTGGGGAGGCCTTGGAACAGGCTGCCCAGGGAGGTGGTGGAGGCACCAACCCTGGAGGTGTGGATGGTTTAGTGGTTGGGGGTTGCAGAGTGGACAGTTGTACTTCATGATCTTGAAGGTCTTTTCCAACCTTGATGATTCTATTAAGTCCCAGTGAAGAAGACACGAGGAAGCCTGGATGGTTGCCATGGATTCCCACAGTCTTCCGTCCTTCTCTGGTCACACCACGTGGTTTCTACGCCGACAAAGGGAGCGTTTCTCTCATCTCAGAACAAATCATTTCAGCTGGATCTCAAGCATCCCCAAAACCTCAACCTCCAGATACCATCTCTCATGAAGTCCCTCCTCCCTGGGATACTCACGGCCTGTGTTATCAAAGAGAACTTTGTCGTTGAGGCCAAGGCGCAGCTCCGGCATTCCCGACAGGAACACCCTCATCTTAATGGATCCAACTATCTCGCTCCTCAACACGTTCCCGTTGGCACTGACCTGGATAAAACCAGAAAGAAAGGTCAGGGTGGCTCTGATGTGATGTTGTGACCATCAAACAACACTCCCTGTTCCCACCTCCAAGGTCTTCTCGGGCGGCTTTCCCCTGAGAAATCCCAGGGGAGGAGGATTAGCTCAGGGGGGTGATGGGCACAGAAGGAGGAAAGGACATTCCAGACATCAGGAAGATATCCAAGCAAAGCACTGTTTGACTGACTGACAAATATGACTTGACACAGTTTTGAGTATCAAGTCAGGCTGACTTTTTACTGCCCCCCCTGCAGATTTTGAGACAATCAGCCCCTTTCAACACTTCCCACCTCGATTCTCACGAAAAGGGGCAGCAACAAGGACCCACCAAAAGGTTCACAGACTCTATCACATCCAGGAACACTTCATTTTTCCTGTATTTGATCCCTTCTGATCTCCATGAAACAGCATTGGTGACAGTGGCAGGTGGACGTGGAGCTCCAGTTTCAAGTTTGTGACCTTCCTGAGTGATGTACCTTTCCAGGCAGCAAAAAAATGGGCAGGAAATAATGAAAATTAATTATTTTGCTAACCAGACCAAGCCAAGTAATTTCTCAGTGTATGTTAGAGGTGCTCAAGAAGTCTTAAGTGAATACAAAAAAATGAAAAAGAGTTGGTACTACAAAATGGTCTTTAAAATCCTAATGAACGTTTGATTTTTTGATGTACTTTTTTCTTAGTAGTGCAGAATGGGTGTGTGAAGATAAATTTTGTTTGCAAGTGGTGTGAAATACTACAGGAGTGAAATACTACAGAGAAAAACTTAAACCATTATTAATTAAAAAAACAAGTCTTGGTAGGGAAGAATGCTCCAAGCTTCCCAAAGAGTCTGTCACTACGAGTGATGCAGACTGATACTTACTCTTGTAAAATTTTACTATCAGTGGTTTGGGGATAACCAAAATCCATAAGCTCATCTAACAACTCATAAATAATAACAAAATTATCCCTAATGCTCTCTTCTTCCAACTCCTTGAAATACTCAGAAAACACCTGAAACAGAATGAGAGGAGACAGGGGAAGTAGGATAATATTAACTGAGGAACTGCAGCACATTCAGAATAGATTCTTGCATCTAAATGAATCCGTTTTTCTAAAAAGAAAAATCCCCAAACCCCTTAAGTCACAAAGATTCTGTTCAGATGAGGCTCATGAAGCCCACCTGAATTAAAAGAGAGCTCAGACAATCTGAGAAGCAACTCTAATTACTATGAAAAAACATTTATTCTGGAGATGTTTTTCATGGCAGGTGCAGATGAACCAGACACAGAATCTGTGTGAGGTGTCACTACTCAAGGAGCAAGTTCACAATCCTCTGTGTTCTCAGCCCTTGTGCAGCTACTTGCAGCTTCATGTCACCACCTCTGCCTACTCAGCTCCAAAATATCAATTATTAGTGATTAGGAAGGTAGTTCTATCAAATCATCACATTCTAGGAAGGCAGATCCATCAAATTAATCAAGTTATAAGAAGATAGTTCCATCAAACAATCAGATTACAAAGTAAAAATGCTTTTTAACCACAGAATTCTTTCAAAAATGCAAAAGCTCCCTGCACTTCCTCCCAGTTCAGCCTGAATCTGATTTAAATAAAAGACAGAAAATACTTCTGAAATGCCACACTCACCTGAACTACTTTATATAAAAAGGAAAACACCAGTGACACACAAGCATTTTTCTTAGAAGTTGCAACAACTGATAAAAGATGTTCAGGAAGATGCATTTAAAGTCAGCATTAAAAACAAACAAAAAAGTTTACTAAGTTAATTTTAAAAAGGCTTTAGGCAGTTAAAGTTGGCCAAAAAACCCTAAGAATTAGTGAACTAACAGCAAGGAGATCAACACTCAGACAGTAATTTATTAAAGTGCATTGAATAGAATCACTTTTTTGTGTCCTGTGGTGCAGATTATCCTGCAGAAAGTGTAAAACTACTTTAATTAACAGGGCAAAATGATGGTATTTAAGAGGTTCATGTGTCCCTAGACCTGCTTGGCACAGCAGGAGGTCAGAGCAGGACAAAGGATACGATACAAGTTGTTGTGTTTAATCCACATGAAACGGACTCCTCCGTGTGCCAGGATGGGAGAGAGGGTCCCCTCCTCCTCCTTCTCCATGAGGATGGGCATGAAATGCTCCACCTCAGACATGTCCACATCTCCACGGTAATTCCGACAGATGAGAACCTGGGAAGGGAGCAACAAAATCCTTGGATTTGTCCTGAGATGACGTCACCAGGACCAGCCCAACACCCTGCAAGGCCCCTTTCAGGAACTGTTTCTAAGTGCTCGAGCTCCACTCCCGCCTCGATACGGACCACAAGTGTAAATCGTGACACCAAAATACTTTGCCCATTTGGACGCAAATCTTCGTACTCAATTGCAAAGCCGTGATTTAAGGTTTTCCAGAAGTTATTCCTGACCTGCTGCTGCACGATTGTCACGCTTTAAGACGGGGAAACACGCAGCTCCTCTGGGACAAACCACCCCCAGTCGCGGGAGAGATCACCGAGCCCAGGGTGCAAGCCCCAGGGTTTGCTGGCACATCTGCTGCCTCCTCCCGCCAGGAAGGGGCCCACAGGGGCTCACGGCCCGGTGGGAGCGGGGCCGGCAGCAGG